TGAGAGATGTTTGAGATAACAAACCCGAAATAAGTTCCACCAGTCTTGTATGTAGATAGAAGGAAAAGGCAGTGAAGTTTATAGTGGAAATGAAAAGATTGCTTGCTTTGGGGTAGTACTCCAAGTTATTAAGATCTCTAGGTTTTCAAGGAATGGTGTTTTTTAGAAGCTCAAGGGTATAAGTTGTACTGTGGTGAACTATAAGTTTCAACAATAGTTGTCAAGACATAAAACCTTTGGGATTTTTGTTAATTTGCATGAAAGAGTAATCAATTCATGTATTTGTTGAAAGAAAGTGAAATTAAGGATAAAGATAAGGAATTAAAACGAGAAATAAGGTATATGAAAGGCTAACAAGATGAGTAAAGAAGCTTAAAGGGAATATTTTCAAAATGAGAAGAAGCATGAAGGTGGCTTGAATACCTTTTGATAGTTAAGGATTTTGAACTACGAAAAGTAAGTATACTTGAAAGTATTGAGATTATAGAATTATGGATATGAAAATGTCATAAAGAGTGGAATGACAAGATTTATGGAGTTGATTGGGAAATCTTGATATAATTTGAGTATGAATCGTTAATGAGGTAATTAAGTTGATATTAATTATGAGTAACAAGAGACTTCTTCAAGGAATACTATAGGAAAGGTGAAGAGATGATTGAGGAAAATTTGAGGAAAGGATAACGAGGTTGATTGAAGTTTGGAGGTAGTATAAGGATATCATTTTGTATGAAGAAAGGATTAATGTTGTATTGCTTAAAGAGGGTTAGAAGAGTAAGATTGCAAGGTAATGAGAATGAGGATACATCGCTTTGGGTAGCGCATGCATTTGTTAAGAAGGAAAGATAATGGTGTACAATAATATGGTGCCTAAGATAGTTAATTAAGGTGACAAGGAAGAGTAACTATATTCTGATTTGGAGTGATGATTTATTTGATCAAATATAGGGAGCAACAATATTTTCTGAGTCAGACTTGAGGTTAGGAACTACTTGGAAAGAATATTCAAAACATAATATTTTGAAATTGGCGTCTATGACAAGATTTGTACGGCTTGAGTTTTAATCCTTTTGGATTAACGAAGCACCTATAATTTTGATTGAATTTAAGAATCAAGTGTTTACATTGAAGGTATTTTAGTAAATTCTAAATATGGAAAGGAAAGGACGATGTGAACACCTGTGATAAAGTTGTTAATGTTGAGAGAGAAGCGGATGCACGCAAGGTATTACTATGAGTGAGTTGTGATTAAAGTAAAGACCATTTTGGGACACCTTATGGAAAAGTATGGAAGAGATTGCTAGTATAACAAAGATAAAGGTTGAGAATTATAAACTATATTATAATTAAGGATATCATTGTTTAAGGTTTTTAAATTGGACAAGGTGGTGTAGAAGGTTTGTGACAGATTTTCAGGGATTATTAACAATTGAATGCCTTCGAGAAATGTAATTCAAAGTTCGTGGAGATTAATAAGTGTGGGAAAATAAATTTGGATAGATGATTAATTGAGTAAAGTGTAAAATTTGTGGTAGACTCTCACACATAAGAATTTGAATATGTAACAAAGAAACAATGGGAGTTGATAAAGGACTATTGGCAAGACATTCAATATAGTTGAAAGGGAGGTAATGTGGTGGATTGATACATTAGTAATATTCGACAAAGTAAATGGAAAATAAGGAAATTAACCTCCTCAAAAGTGTTGGAAAAGAAAAGTAAAGAAAATGTTGGGGCAACAAGACTATGAGACCAACAATATTTGAGGAGATGAAGGAAAATCAAATAGAGAATGTGAATTTGGATTGAATTCGTCAAATTATGATTTGTTTTAATATTCATAGAGATAAAAGTTTGAATATATGTTGTAAGAGTAAGAGATTGAAAGGAAAACTAATGGAAGAAGAGGTGCAATACACCCTATCCAGGGAAGGACAAGTTGCAAAAGGATTTGATAAAGGTGTAGTGATGGTTTAGAATGATTAATATCACTTGGATTGTGGTGGATAGATTGTCTAAGTCTGCGATGTTTAAAAGACAATGATAGAGACTTGGAGGATGGAGAAACTTGCAAAGGCTTACATCAAATAAAATGTGAGATTACATGGAGTTCATAAGAATATCATGTCAGGTAGAGATTATTCCAAGTTTCTTTCAAGATCTTGAAAGGTATACAGGAGAACTTTGGTATTACGTTGAGGACGATTACAACATCCACCAAGTGGTAAATGGACAAACAAAAAAGAATATTTGACATTGGAGGTCATGCAGAGAGCATGTGTATTCAATTTCGAAAAGGATCTAAAGATAACTTGGAGTGAAACAAACACAAAGTTATCGTACAAGCCACCATTGGCACGCATGAGAACATTTTGAGGTTTTGTTAGAAAGAAGCATGAAAGTTCACTATGTTCGAGGAATATAAGTGATATAAACGTTTTAGTACTTTAAATAATGACTAAGATATAGAGAAGTGAAGTATCAAAGAACGAATTTGAATGGTGCAATTTAAATAAAGGATAAATGTTATTAAAAGTGTATCCCATGAAAATAAGGATGAATTTTTGTAAGAAAGAAAAAATGTGCCATAGTATATGGAAATATATACCTTTGCGTAAAATTATTAAAGTCACGAATAACTTTTCCTTATTATTGGACCTTGGTAAAGTACAAGACCTTTTTCATAAGTCATTGTGAAATAACATATTCCTGATTAAAGGTATGAGTTGTAAAGGAAATTAGTGAGTTTTAAACAAGTTGATCTACGAACATGATATGCAAATCAAGGTTTGGGATTGCAAAGTGCTTATTAATTTTACTAAAAGAATTGGTAAAAGATGGTTTATTTGGAAAATAATTACCTTTAGTATGATGAGTAAAGGACTGATGATATTATTATTGGTAATCGCAACAAGGAATGAGAAAGAAAATTACATAATTCTAAAGTTGAGTTAAGTGGAGTTACGAGGATGTAACTCGTTTTCTTTTAGGGGGGGTACAGTGTGGTATAATTACACGCTTTTTCCTTAATTTTGGCATTTGAAGTGCTTTTTCATCATTTTTACACTGATTTTGTTATTAAGTTTGATTATCTTGCACACCATGTGTGTAAATTTTTTATCAAGGATGAATCATACACTAATAAATACTGTAATTTTGTTAGTTAGTTTAATATTTTACACAATGTTTTGTATAAGTTTGTTAGTTTAGTTATTATTTTACATAGTAGATTGTGTAAGTTGTTATATATAAAAGTTTGCTATTCTACATATAAGTTTGTGTAGAATTGTATAAAAGAAATAGAAAAGTATAAGTCACAAAAAGTACAACAACTAAAAGTATTAATTAAGGAAGATTTTTTGAGATTTTAAAAGTATTTATCCATCTTTAAAAAAGTTTTTTTTAAAGTTTTTGTAACTAAGTTTTGAGGACGAAACTTCTTTTAAAGGGGATAAACTGTAACATCTCATATTTTAATGTATTTTTTTAATTATTTAATTAAGGAAAAATTAGAAATAACACCACAAAACTTTGCAAAAGATTGATTATAAAACCACAATTCTCAAACTTTTATTCTAACACCACAAAAAAATCTAAAAATTAAATTTCACCATCACCTAAGGGATTCTTGGATGGACTCCGTTAGTAGGGCTCACCTTGGACACGTGTCACTCAACTATTTGTTAAAAAAATTAAATAAATAAAATTTTAAGCAAATATTTTTTAAAAAAACCTAAACACTAACCCAGCCCCACCACCACCACTGCCACTGCCAACAGCTCGGCCCCTACCGCTAGCACTTCCTGCCCCACTTTCACCGTCAAAACTAGCGAGCCCCACCACCCCCTAAAACCAGCGAACCACCACTGTCGCCCCATCGAGTAGCAACAACCCCATCACCACAAAAATTGTCGAAGAATACCACCCACTGTCAAAGAAAACAACCCACTTCTGGAGAAAACCATGCCCAATTATTCCACCCGCAACCCCGGATCCAGACAATTGTTTTCTTCATAAAACAATCGTTTAGACGAAGATTGGGAAAAGGAGGTGGTGGTGGCGACCTTTCCTTTTCGTCATAAAAGTGGTTTTGATGGTGAAGGTGGGGCTGTGGTGGGTGGGGGTGATGGTGGGTTGTTGCACCGCTAAAGGAATTGGTTTCAGTGGTAGTGGGGGGGGGGGGGGTTCTACAGTGGGCTAATGGCTGGGTTAGGGTTTATGGGTTTTTCTTATTTTTTCTTTTTATTTTAATTTATCTTTTTTTTAAAACCAATGTCCTATTACCACGTGTCCATCGTGGGTCACTTTAATGGATTTCATCCAAAAAACTGTTAAATGGTGGTAAAATCCAATTTTTTTTCTCTGTGGTGTTATAATCCAATTTTTGTGAAATTTAGGTTGTTATTTTCTATTTTTTCCTTTAATTAATTTTAAAATATATTTTAAAGGCTCAAATATTTTAATTAATACTTTAAAGGGCAAAAGTATTTTAGTTATAAAGTATTATAAAAGTAAAATATATTTTTAGACTAAACGTTTATTAATTATTTTGGCTTGTTTAAATATTTGTATGTAAGCAATCCTTATACTCCTATTGGACCTAGCTTATGCTATTTAACGAAGCCCAATTCATTTTTTTTAACGGAAGCCCAATTCATTTATTTGAACCCTTGTGGGTTAAATATTCTATAACTAAAACCCACTTATAAGGGGCTATGGAGAAATTGAGTCAGAAAAAAAATATTGAAAATGGGTTCTTATTAAGCATCCCTTATTCAATGCAATAATCTGGCAAAAAGTAGCTTCTTATAACATTAGGCGTTTTATAATTTATAAGGTAGTTTCTTCCAACATCTAGTATTTATAAGGTAGTTTCTTACAACATTTTTTTTAATAAGGTTGTTTTTCACAAAAACTAAATGTATAAGACAATATAGATGGACAAAGTGTTGAGAAAAAAGAGAAGTATTATGAAATAAATTTTTTATTATTGGACAAGATATTACGATAAATTAAAACCCAATGCATCAGTATATTGCCCAAGATATTTGCTAGTTTCTTTCTCCTTGTTGGCATATGCATGAGAAGAGGAATATATACATAGTGGCAAAGAGGTTAACAAGAGGTAACAATGCAACAATTGATTATTAAATTCATCAACCAGCCAACTTTACAAGCATATTACAAGCAAAGAAAATAGTTGGCACATTAAAAAAAATATATAATTTTCAATCACAGTAAATAGAGAGAAAATTCAATCTAACAGCAACGATTATCTGGAATGCAAAGATGTCCAGTCATGTGAAAGCTTTCAGCTCCGCCTTTGTGCATATATGGGCATTCTGGTTTGTACTTCTTGGCATCATCGTTACCGGCTAATCGGACGTTCCATTTTGCAAGCAAGTCCTTAGTCGAAGCCATGGGCCAAGTTGCAGTAGCGTTTTCATATCTACTTTGCGTAACACGTATGAATTTTTTCAAATTCTCATTCTTTTGTATGTCACTAGGATCAATATCAACGATAAATATATCACCGTAGGGTCTCACGGAGTGAAGGAATATAGGCATCGACACCGGATCACAGGACACTGCAGCAAGATCAGCAGTCACAACGAGACTCTTGCCATCGGGGCTGAAAAATGGATGGTTCACATGTCCCGGAAATAATCCACCCAAATATATATTTCCACTGTCTATCACTTTGATGACCACATTTTTATCATTAGCCTTAACCATGTACACACCAAAGTACCCTGGATCAGGAAGGTCTTCAAGTTGTTTGGCCTTGGGATTCGAACGATTCGATGAGAATACTATCCAATCTTGTGTAGGAGACCATTGGCAATGTGTGTCTGTCCAATCCCCTTCTGTTAGTCTTGTTACCATGGCTCCGTCAAACTCTCCTAGTTGAGCATTTTCCATAATGTATAAATTCTTGGATCCGTCCTTTGTAGATCGATATACTAATCTCGTCCCTGAAGTGAAAGTTATAAGTTAGTTAAACCTCTTGTATGTTTCATTATACTATCTCCGTTTCTAAAAGTAATATTATGAAGACTCAGTGACTCACCGTCTCCATTGGTAGATGGGAAAGCACTATTGTATAACCTTTGTGTTAGAAATTTGAACTCTCTTTTATTTTCGGAAACGTTGATAATCGCCAAAATCTGAACTGTTTCTTTTTGGTTGAATGAAGGTCCAACACACAAATATAGTATATCCTTTCCACGGTTCCAAATATGCTGTTCGAATCGTTTCTCTACACCATTGATCACACAATTCATAAGACTATAAGTTTAAAAAAATGAAAATAAAAAAAAAAAAAAAAAATCTTCTCTCTAAATGTTGTTCCTATTTTGATTGATTGTTGTTTCATAGGAAAAGGAAACGAACAATTTTTAGAGACGGATTGAATAATAATCAAAGAATGTACCTTGTAAACCATATGTAATCCGCGGCTATCGGCAACCCACACAGCCTTAAACTCGTTGTCAACAAATGCAAGCTTCTTGCCACATTGTGAAATTGATGGAAATACACCCGACACCCTGAATACTCCTATTTCCGGATCCGGAGATTGTAGCTTGTAGAAATCTTTCTCAACAACGCTATACTGTCAAATTAATTTCAACATAAATAATATTATTAGATGTAGGATTCATATTTATAACTTAAATTATGAGGTTGTCCTCATTGATATCCTATATTAACATTGTTTGTTAATATAGTGACATTCTTGTAAATAATAGTACTTCTCTTTCCCATGGCCACTCTATTTTGTCTCTCCTCCCCTTCCAAAGTCTTGCCAACCATCCGACCACCATCGCGAGTCTAAAATGGTTGGCCGGCCAAACAAAAGACATCCTAATAGGACATATATAAATTGGGGTTATACTAACCTCGCTCTTAGAGAAGGGGTGGTTCTTGCGAAGGTGCGACAACCGTCTAGTGGTACTAATGGTTGTGCAGTGGTCGATTAGTGGTCGTACGGTGGTTGAAATGGTCGTGTTAGTGGTTGTGTGATGGTCGGATGATAGTGTTAGAGGTGGTGCGGCAGTAGAAGATGGTGCCAATGGGTGGTTTAGTGGTGATAGAGGAGAGAGGGGGTATTTGTTTAAGAATTTATCAAAAAAACCTTGATATTAACAAGTGATGTTGATATAGGATATCAACTTGTATTTCTCTTGAATTATTATATAAATTTGGGTAAAAATATATACTTCCTCAGTTTTCCTTTTTTTTTTTTTTTTTTTTTTTTTTTGCTACTCCATTAAACTTTTTCAATCTCCAACATTGTTTCAAACAACATATATGTCTTTATTTCTATACACCCACAAAAATATATATAAAAACTTATTCAAATAAAAAAAAATTGAGACGATACAAAATATCTAAATCATGATTATCTTATCCCTTATTTATAGTACTGTATAAACAGAAAGGGCATTTTGGTTAATAAATTTGTCTTTTTTCCAAAATGTCCTTCTCAATTTGCTAAAATTCCTATTCACTTTTTTAAAAAGTGTTTATAGATGCTATAAGGAAAAAATAAAAACAAAAAAAAATCAAAATTATTAATATAAATATTGGTGTACAAACTAAGTTTCAAAGCTTTTATACTAAAACCAATTAACAATAATAAGAATAACTCCTCTACCTTATAAAGTTGAATTATCTCTCCTCTTTCTTTAATGTGGGATACTCACAAGTGGGGTATAACGGGTTTCAACAAAGTTTGACTCAAATGTTAGCAATGAAGCAATATAAAATGGGAATATAGCGTATTTCAATAAAAAGTTCGTAGTTACGTTGGAACTTACGCGTTAAGTTTGTCACTATGGCAATGATGATAACCAATACGCTTTACTCCATTGATTGCATCACCAACAACAAAGGGATTGAAATGGTCTGCCATAGGTCTAGTTTTCTTAGTGATTTCTATGACTTTCTCTTTCGGTTGGCTCATATCAAAGACTTCAATGTGCCGGTATTGATCTACTTCACGTTCATCCTGATCGTCGAATGTGAAACTTCGACGAACAGTAGCAACTACCACTTTGTTCTCATCAATAGCTGCTGGAGTCATAGCACTGATCTCCGCCGGGGTCACACGAGTCACGGACTTGGGACCCACTCGAAGGTCGACTCGAAACACCCCCCAACGTTTTTGTATTTTAACCTTCTCGATGTTACGATGAAAATAGAGGACGTTGTTACTACCCCAAGTAGGCCAGCCACCATCGACCACAACCAACTCACGATTTAATGGCCGATTTACATTCATAACAAAAATGCTAGTCTTGAGATCCTCAATCTCACCATCCCAACCAGCCTTTCTTTGGAGAGATGCGACAGCTATTCTATTGCCGTCGGGTGACACCGAGGGGCTTAAATCTGCTTGTCCTGTACATGGAAATTTGACTTTCAAGCTCACTAATGCACACTTACTACTTCATTTTATTATATGAACACAAAATAAATTGATATATATAATATAAAAAACGAGGTAGCTCCGGTTAATCTCTGGGATAAACAATATTTGTTTATCACATTCACATGATATTTTGGTAAATAAATCAACAACTTTAGCCGTTCATCATCACTGTGAGCCCCATTTTTATTGAAAAAGTTGTTGATTTATTTACAAAATTGTCATATAATGAACAAATTTTGTGCATCACAGAGACTAATTTGTATTTACCCATAAAAAACCGTGGAAGTAACATTTGAATTTGATGTATAATTTTCTGTTGCTTATCAAAATTCATCACTTGTTTTTTACTACTACGGAGTATTATTTCTCTCCTTTCACAACCTCAATTGGAGAAATTACAAGTTTTGTTTACAATTTGCCATTGGATGAACAATATTTTTTTTTATCAGGTAGAAAAATAAGGGCTTCTAACTTTTAAAGGGTAACAAACTTTTGCTCCACTATTTCTTTTCTACAGTAATTAATCTTCCAACACATTCCACTTACATACTATTTTACATCATTCAACTCACCACCCTAAAACAAAAAATAAACTAATATTAAAATTGTTGCAATTATTAAACAAAAAATAATAATAATAATAATAATAATACCTTTAAGGGTTAGGCGTTCAGTTTTCCCGTCGTTGAGATTAGTTTTGTAAACCGCAGTCCAAGGTTGATGAGGCTCAGGAGCAGGCTCCATAGTAGAGACATAGATAAGATAATCCCCAGCAATGCAACCACTATCTTCCATGCGAACACCCTTGAATGTGTCATAAACTTGAGCAAAATTAAACACTTGTGTTTTGGACGGTTGGTCTTGGAATAAGAGAGCTATATGAAGCGTCTCGAGGTTCTGAGTCCGTTCAGACACAAATATCATTGCTGATAGACGGCCCGAATCTACATCATCGGCTGTGCCTTGGCCGCGCAGTAGTGGTCATTGAAGGATAAGCTTGAGAGCTGAAGCTGGAATTATTTGTCCGTTGTAGTTATAGGAGTTCCCATCCGTCAAGAGTGCCTCATCTCGGTTCGACATCGGTGGATATTTTGCTGAGTATATATCTAACGGAACGGGTGGTCGATACGTTGCAAAGAATTCAATGCTACCTCTCTTTTCTTCTTTCTTCTCTTGCGTGTTTTCTTCAATCTTCTCTTCCATCTTGTAATTTACAAAGTGTTATGTTGAGTAAGTAAATTTTCTAATAAATTAAAGGGAACTTAGCTAACTTCTCTTCATGAATTAGATGTTGGAGTCTTTAAAGAGTGTTCATGGACACATTTATATTACGCTAAATATGATCAATTCCACATTTAAAATATTAATACAATAAATAAAAAAAAAAAATACTAGCATACATATTTTTTTTTTTTTTTTTGAAGACAATACTAGCATACATATTAATTAATAAACATTAATTAAGTTTTTCACCAAATAAATAAGATATATTAATTACATCTTCCCTTGTTCCTAGTTTCAAACCTTACTTTTGTTTTAACTAATTTTAATACTGTACTGTATTTGTTTTAGTAAATACGGAGTATTAAAAAATTAAAAAAAAATAGCTTTCACATGGTGATATACAATAAATATAAGAAAAACAATAGTCAGAGAATTTAGAATAGCGAAGAGAAATCAATGTTTTTAATTAGCTAACAAGCTCACCATTTGTATTTAGAATGATATGAAGTTAGCTCACACTGGAGAGGAAAAAGCCTGAAAGGGTGTTCACCTTTTAAACTGGATCAGAGGAAATTTAGTGTCTTACATGCTGTAGGTGTTTACTGGACCAGTATTTATAGAAACAACTTGGAATTTTTCTTCTAAATTAATCGTTCAAATTAATTACAATTGTAAAGTTTATTAATTTAGGTTTAAAGCTATCTATCTATCCTATAATTATTATTATAATATATAAAGCTGATCTTTTAGTCAGGTCATGAGACAGCTACACTTGACATTTCAACTTTTCGTAAAATGCCGCGCCACGTCGGATAGATTTAGATAGACTACATAAGATAAAATAAATAAATAAAGTTAATTAAAATTTTATTTTCAATCAAATAAAATTTTATTTTGAAATTGTTATTTTAGATTTTCATTTTCCATAAAATACTAAATAATAAACTTTTAGCTAGACCATGAGACAAGACATTTTAACTTTTCGCCAAATGTCGCACCACGTTTGATAAATTTAGATAGACTTTGGCGTGTTCGGCGCTAGCTTTTAGGTAGCTTTTAGTGGTTTGACTTGGTCAAACCACTACTTAACAAAAAATGTGAGTGTTTGGCAAAGTAGTGGTTATGATAGCTTTTAGTGGTGGAGGTAGCTTTTATGAAATGTTAGCTTTTAAAAGTAGAGGTAGCTTTTGAGGTAACTGTTGAAAATTTAATTTATAATTTTAAATATAAAATATTGGTTTTTATATGTAACAGCTAGGCGACCGCTACTTTCCCGAACACTCATACCTAAATTATCTATCTTCACAGCTACAACTTGTTGACAGCTAAAAGCTACCTACACAACTTACAGCTACCTTCACAGCTAATGGCTACCTTCACAGCTATATTTTGCCGAACACGCCCTTTGTAGGATAAAAAGTTAGTCTGAAATTCTATTTTCAACGAAATTTGAATAGAATTTTAAGATAACCTTTTTAGTTTAAAGTTTTATTTCGATAAATTACCAATATTTCATATGTACAAATTTAATTATATTATTTTTTTCAAATTAATACTAGATTATTACTATCGATAATTATCATATAAATTTATTTTTATATCATTCAGATCAAGTCACTTCAACCCAAAGTTTTGGGTTCGGGTCAACCCAACGGGCTTAAAATAAATTCTGTATTTAATTAATTTTTTTGCTAATTTTATAGAAATTTCTAATATTGCTTACTTTGCTATTTTTTTTATGTATTTAATCGAAGCTTTTCACCAATATTATTGTTAGTCACTACATGCCTACTACATAGTTTAAATTGCTAGAGAAGCACATCATATAATTTCGTTCTAATTTTATATCAATGTTATATTTTAAAATTTGACATATAAATTAAAATTTTTATCTTAAAACTCAATTAACAACCCGGCAATTGCACGGGGCACAAAACTAGTTTACCTATAAACCCTTACTAAAAGCAAATATTGACATGACACTTGTCACTACGTTGTCGTAAAACTTTTTTTCCTTTAATTTGTCTTATTTTATTTTTTCCATTTTTTTTATTACAAGTAAATCAAATAATTTTGTCTTACCATTTAAACAACCAACAAAATCTTATTTAAAAGGAAAATTAATTAATTTAATCTTACCATAAATAACAAAAAAAAATATTGTTTTAGGTAAAAAAGTTAATATTTAATTAATATAGTTTTCTACGAAAATTTATAAATGTCGTGTGTGGCACAGGATTTAAGCTATTAGTTAATTCCATAACATAATTGTTAATAATATAGATCAAATAACCAATTTAACATGTATTTTTGTGTATGATCCATTCTTTATTTAATCTACTCCATCTGCTTCTAAGGCCCTGTTTTTTTGAGCTAGTATGCTCTATCCTGCTATGTTCTTCCCTACTCTACATTGGAAGATTTACTTAAATCTATTCTGCACTGTGTTGAAAACACTGCTCTGCTGAAATCTGCTTTACTTTGTCCAGAATCTCAAACGAACAGGGCCTAAATGATTTATCCATTATTCATTATATTCCCGATTAAAGAAGTTATGTTTTAACCACAATTTTCCACCAATTCATTTTGAGTCCGGTTAAAATCATCTCACCATTTAAGTTTCAAATTATAAATTTTAATAATATGGAATTGGAGATATTGAAAACAAAGAAACTATAAATTTTGTTCAATAATCATCATCGCAATATAACGTAGTCCATAAAAATTTATGAATTAGGTTGTTTGGGGGGTTATTATCTCGAGTATTCTCTTAGTCTCATTTTACTTGTTTTATTAAATTGTTTTTATGAGAGGTTGTTTTTAAATGAGATGGAAGAAATATAAAAGTGTAGTGTTCCAGACTTCCAGTTAAATGTAGCTATGAGTCTATGAGCTAAGTTCTGTATCTTTACTAGTTTTTTTTTTTTTTTTTTTTTTTTTTTTTTTTTTTTTTCTTATAATTTGTTTGTATTTGGAGAATTGTATTTGGGGTATCTTTATGTGAATTGCTATTTGCCACAATGAAATTACTCAAGCTATAGTATTAAAAGACTTTTATGCCCCTTATTATTTTGAAAATAACATAACAATCCAACCATTACTAACTACTAACTTTGTCCTACCTTGACCATACTCAAGCCTTAGCTCCACATTGACTATCAGCTCCACCACCCATACCACCACCCACCTTGACTGTCCACCACCACGACTCCACCTTAACAACAAACTTGACCGATCCCACAACGGTTGACCACTAACATTGTACTTTCCGTCCAATAAAATGAGTCGACGATTGTCTGCGTTCATATCGGAGGCATTTGGTGGGGACGACAAACCTTCGACGCCGTCGAGTCAAGTATATGTCAGACTTTTTTTTTTAATTTCCGTTGTACCCGGTCGCATGCTATATGCGACTACACCGCGCTATAGTCGCATACTATTTAAATTTTTTTATAAGCAAACCGTTTAATTTATACTAATTAACTTTTAATAATTATTAAAAATAACAAAATACACTTAATTTAATTAGTAAAATTTATTGATTAAAAAAAATTAGTAATTTTTTTTTTACAACGAAAATTAGTAAATTTATGGGCTTAAACAAATAACAAATTTGCCAAAAAAAAAACAAGTAAGGGCAGATGCGTCATTCAATACCGTAACATAAGTAATTCTATTGTGGCATTTAGTAAAATGTTATTGATAATTTTATTTTATTTTTTATTTTTAACTTTTAATTTGCAATTATTGTTTGTACTAGTATTTGGGCTTATTGGAGAGCCATATGTGTCTATGTCACCATTTATTCCTCAATTGAGCATTTACCAAGCGTTTGTTCCGAACTTCTAATTGTTTTTTAAATTATTTTTTAGCATTGTTTGTATTAGAGAAGTCTATGTCACCATGTGTTGCACGACTGAACATTTATCTACGTGTTTGGAAGACGAACTTGATTACCACGTGTCATGCTCCAATAGGTGTGTTTAGCCCTGAGGTAGCTGACATGTGCATTTTGATTAGTCCAGCTAGATAGGTATTTTTACCCTAAACACAATTAGTAATCCCTACACCCGTTCTCAAAAGAAGACTATCTTTGATTCTTTGGTGATTTTACACTATTAATAAGGACAATAAATAGTGTAAACAATGACTAGATGCCACATATATAAAGCATTAAGACAATAAATTAAGCTTAAGATAGAAATATTTGTATTTAGAGTAGATTAATATTTATTTTTGGCAAAATTTGCTGCAACATCCTGAAGTATGTTTAGGTGCACTGAGCACTCTAAAATTTGATTAGTAGCCAAAACACCACCAACTATGGTGTAACGGTGTGATGTGTGTCTTAAATGAAAAATTCCGATAACTTATTTCATCGAAGGAGCGAGGTGAATCCGAGCTTGCCAAGTGGATGGGAATAGTTACCATTTCCTTAAAATATTCTGGAGAGTGAAGATTCACCTAATCCGATGAAATAAGTGGTCGAAAATTTTCATTTAAGGCATGTATCGCACCTTACACCATAGTTGGTGTGGTTATGACGACTATGAAAAGTTCAGAGTGCTCAGTGCACCTAAACCATACTTCAGGGTGTTACGGCCAATTTTGCTTTTATTTTTAGATCTATAATTATAACTAAAATTAAAAAAATTCCCAACTATGGCATCTTCATTTTCTATCTTAATTATTATTTATCTCTTCCAAATTTAAGATTGGAAAAGTAATTCCTAGTAACAAATAAATAGATTAGAAGTGTGAGCATCAATTAATCATAAATGTAGTTAATGTACTATATTATATTGAGTTTTTTCTAAATCTTGCATTGCAAGTATTTATCTAGTAGAATATTTCAAAAAAAAAAAAAAAAGTATTTATCTAGTAGAATCAATTAAACTGTTACCATTAACTCCAAAATGACCAAACGTAACCCTATTTAAGAAATGAAGGGAGCGGATATCTAGATAAATGCTTTATTCTGGTGGAAGTGTGGAACACATGGTGACATAAAAATATAGAATCAGTGGATACATATGGGTCTCCAAATCTCCAATCAGTCTAAATACAAACAATTTACCAAAGAATAAATATCTAGATTATTTAACGCTATTATTATGAACAAATGGTGGATAAATGCTTGATCGAGGAAC